TATGATATTTGAGTCCAGTCAGGGTCAGAGTTGGAGTTTTGAGCCTCGCTGCCAAGGGCTCATGCTCCCAAATTCAGATTCCAGGGTGAGGGAATTCTTCAACAAGCTTAAACATCGACGGCTCTCAGATGCCAAAATCCTGGAGAGCATGGAAAATGGTCAGAGTTGGCCCAAGTGCTTCCAAGAGCACCAGGCAGCAAAGCAGGCTGTTTCTGCAAGGTTGGGGGAGGAGGCTGGACATGCGCGCGCGGCCACTTTCAGGTCTGTTGACTCCACTCAACGGCGGTTTGTTCGTTCAGCAGTTCAGCGCAACACACACAAACACACTCGGGATATGGTTTGTTTGGTTAGGTCAGTTTGGTTAGGTTAGGTCTGAATGCCACACGCTGCACGGCAACCTAGGTGAAAAGGATGGCCCTAGCCCTAGCATGCCCTAGGTAAAAACAAAGGCCGCCCAATTCCAACGAAGGTCAAATTGAACAAGAAAAACGAATGTGCGTGACTGCAGAATTCGAACCGATGCAAAGGCTGGCCGATTCTAGTATAGTTTGTTTGGTCTGAATGCCACATGCCGCGCGGCAACCTAGGTGAACAAGATTGCCCTAGCACGCCCTAGGTAAAACAAAGGCCGGGCCCCATTCCAACGAAGGTTACGGTTAACAGTTTAAATTGAACGAGATACGACGAATAATGAATAGTGAATGACTGCGGAATTCAATCCCATGCAAAGGCTGGCCAATTGTTCTTTACACCACAAAATTGCTCTAGTTAGACCAGGGACCACCAGGAAATTAACTTTTAACACAGAAGGTATGTGCAGCTGATCAGGCTTCGTTGGGCACAGCTCTATGGGCCTCTTGCCCCCCGCCCCCCCGTGGCCCCCATCCCCATAGGAAGAGGCCAACCACTAACCCAGCCATTTTACAATTAGTAGGTCCGGACGGGAAGACAAAAACGGATCAAATCAAATAATATTATATCCACCGGCGAGGTAAATGATAAATTTTCTTTGTTTGGCCGGTTGGCCTGCAGTAGGTGCCACCTCCGAAGCAGCTCCTGGAGATGTACGGGAATGAGTGGAGCAAGTGCTTGCCTGCGAGGGAGCAAGATCTCCTGTACTTACATTTGTGGGTGTCTCTTGACTGGGTGACAGCCAAACAGTTTTACAACCAATCAAATTGTTTGTCGCCAACTCACCCTTGGCCCTTGTCCCAAATCATCGTCCATTTTCCATTACTTTTGAGTTCATTGAGGCTTGAGAGAGCAACTAGCCCTGCGGCCGGTGCCACTCATGATGGGGATCCTCCAGGACTTGTGTGGGACCTCACCAATGGCGTGAAATATGCCTGTTGGAAAAGCAACGCTTATTCCGGGACGCTCCCTTGCCTCTTGCGAAAGCACAGGTTGTGGCACGTTGGCCAAGCCAGGCCGGTTTTAGGACGAGAACTTCTTTCGGGGCATGGGTTTGATGCTGCAGGGCTAGCTCAGGAGGGGGTGGTGAAGGGCGACCAGGTATATGTTCCAGTTGCTCTTCCTGAGTTTCCACATTTTTTTTTTGCAATCCCAGTCTCAATCCTGTCGGCTGCCAAATGTTAGGTGCAAGTGCAGGTTGACAGTTGGTAGTTGGCGGTTGTCAGTTTCACAGACAACAGTTTACCGTAATTTACATTTTCTCTAAGTCTCTGTTGTGTGATTGGGCTGGCAAATTTCAGCTCAGGATTCTGAACTGAACGCTATCGCTGGCAATACCATTTCTGTTCCAACAGCAGCCGCATTCATTGCAGTGCTCTTGGCCAGCGGAAGCCTGAAGGGCCTGAAGAAGCAAACGAGCGTGCCGCTGCCACTTCCCGCACTGAAGCTCACAGTGCCAAGCATTGTGTGGATCGGCCACCCGAGGGTCACCAATGATCCTGCACATGAATTTGATGGGCTGCTTGCCAAGGGCGAAGCCAAGATGGGAATGAAGCGGCCAGCAACGAGCCACAGAGCAGTTGGGCGCAAAGTACAGAAAAAAAATGATGCATATTTTTCGTCCTCCGAGTGAGCAGCCGTCGCCGGCACGATTGCAATCGTCGATTCCCGGGTGCAAAAAAAGACTCATGGATGGTTGGGAAGTTGGGGTGGAAGAGGTTGTGAATTCCGGGTGAGTTTTTGTCAGGGGTGTGGTTTCAATTTCAATATTTTGTTTTATTGCAATTTAAATGACATGAGTCATGAGTGATGACACAGGCGGGGGTTTAGACTCCTCTTCTGATTCTTGCCGCCGTCCCAGCTGATCGACTGGTTGGTGGGCTTGGTCGATGGCCTTTCCCTGGGTCCCACTCTGATGTGTTGCATATCCCGGTTCCCCTGCAAAATCTCTACTAGGAACAAACGAAAGAAGTGACTGAGGTGGGTTTGATGAGGAGGCAACCTTGGTTCTGAAGAGTTTGCGCGCACTTTTTCTGGGTGTGCATGTTGAATTGTTGTTTGGAGGGGGGCAAGCCGAACCCTATCCGGACCCTCTTTTCAATTTCTTGGTGAAAAAACAAAAACAACACTCAAGCAACATTTGGGTCTACGAAAAGGTCAAAAAAAACGAGAAAAACGCACATTTTATCAACTTTCCGCAAAAATCAAAAAATGTCAAAAACTGAGAAAACTCACTTTTCATCAACTTTCCGGAAAAACTTGGAAAATGACCAAAAGCACATTTTTTTGTGTTTTTATCATTTTTTGGTGATCTATGAAACGCCAGAAAGTTGTGTTTTTTTGCGTTTTCTCACTTTTGATGGTTTCCGCAAAAATTATTGACACCGGCCTGAACGGTTTTCTTAAGTTCGACTCAGGTTCTCCTCCAGTGCTGGTAGTGGTGAGCCAGCCGACGGGGACGGAGAGAGCAGCGAGGCGGGGGCAAGGCTTTGGCGGCGTTGTGCGCAGGGGGTACAGGCCGGTGAACTGGCGGTGGCGCAACGTCAGACGCTCAAATGACGTGCGCTCAGCGAATGACTCATCACTGAATTTTGACGGTTGATAACGCCCCCCCAACCGCACAAAAATGCACAAAATATCAAAAATTAATCTTGGATGAAGGTAGATGACAGTGTGTTATGGTAGTAGTAGGTGACTCAAGATAACGTCCAAAGTGTCTGAAGGCTTCCTCCACTTCCAGTCAACCCGACGCCTTTTGGGCACCACGTCCCGTGACCTTGAACCCTGCCACCGGGACGGAGAGGCTTCGGCCGATACAAGTCGCGACCGCTAGCCGTGGAGCACCGATCAGCTTCGCCGTAGCCTCTTGCTCCTAGTCGTAAGGCCAGGAGCCCCGTTCGTAGCGTCCTTGCTCCTAGTAGCGATGCCCTTTGCTGCTTGCTACGACAGTAGCTTCTGGTTCCAGTTTCGTTCCGGCAACGTCTGACTGAATGGTACGAAAGTAAAGTATGATGGCCAGCCGGGCAGCTGGATCCGAAGGAATAGCTTGGGGATCCAGCCACCCGGCTGGCCAGCCACACGACCAACTCGTCGCACCGGCGAGACCATGGTGCTTTAAGAAGAGCTCTGTGTGTCGAGGCCAAGCCGTGACGAGGCCAAGCCGGGCGCCCACATGGCACAGCAACACTGAGCACTGAGAGATTGAACCTATGATAGACTCCTTCACTTGTGTCACGCCCTTGCACAGCTCAGATCAAGACGTCGAGGAAAACAACTGTGCTCTTGCGCGAAGCCTGCAAAGCATGTATGACGGACATTGTGTGATACGCTGATGTTTCACAAGTCGGCCAAGTGGATTGATCACACTCATGTAGACTGTTGACAAATAATCAAACACCCCCCCTTGCCAGAATGGCTTTACATCTCCAGATGCGGGGGTTTTGTTCATCGACATGAGATGGGACAGATGGGACACGACACCAACCTCAGGTCTGACACGATCTCGACAGCGTCTCGCCACCCACTCAGACGGCGAGCGTCTCGCACCAGGAGAGCGTCCACGCCCGACACGGTCCGCTGGTTTGGCATCATCTTAGGAGAACGGTTGAGGTGTTTGTTTACAGAGTCAAACATCCCACAACTACAACCATGGTGACCACGACTTGGGTGGCTCTTTCGATTCCGGTGATGGATTTCTTCGACCGGTTCCACGCAAACCGTCGCTTCAAGGACCCATGCCCCCCCGGAGGTGGAGAAGTCCGCTCGGCGGAGAAGACTCCGCCGCTAGGTAGCTACCTAGCTAGGTAGGTAGGTGGGTAGGTAGGTAGGTAGGTAGGTAGGTGTGTTTTTTCCATGTCCTAAACCATGCGTAAGACATGGACCTGGCGCGAAGAGAGCTTATATAAGTCATTTTTTTGGGGGGGTTGTGATGGACATGAGTTGAAATTGCAGGTCGCTTTTTTTTGGTTGTGAACAACAGGGATGGGGACTGCATATGGCATAGGTGATAAACAACATCTGGACTTGTTGGTTGCATGTGGTAGGACGGACTGCGGATGAACATGGCGTAGACCCTGAGCCACTCAGCCTATAGTCAGGTGTGCAGAGCCTGAGCCACTCAGAGTCGAAGCAACATCCGCCAGGATGACGCAGAGCGCCAGGATGACCGCCAGGATCGTATGTGAAAGACTCGCGGAAGAAGGTCATGGCCACCTGTGCCGCCAGTGGTTGAAGCAAACTTGCAACATGAGTCTCTCATGGGCTTTCTGAATAGTAGAACCATCAGATTGAATCAGTTTTCTGGATGGATTCAACAGATCAGCTCTTTGGATTGTTCATCAGATTACTTGTCTTACAGTACTAGTATATACATATATATATGTAGAAACAGTCGTCTTGAAAACGCTTGGGACTGTAAACATCGCCCCAATCGGCCTTTGCCACGCTGCCGGAGCCGGTGATCTTGAAGATCGACGCCGTCAGCGCGCCCGAATGTCACTGGGAACGGTGGTTTCTGTCGACCAAGAAGTCTTCTCTCTTCATGCCGATCAATTGGGAAAGTGTTGGTGATTCGATGTGATTAGTGCTCCCAGAAACCACCTCCAAAATAGCCTAAAAAAAGGCAACAAAGGCTGCCCTAGGGCAGCTGGTTTCCTGGCGGCTGGTGCAGATGTCGACCTCTAAGAAAAGAGTCCCCCTTCGCAGCAGCTGAAAGGCAGGGGGCGGCCAGTGAACCATGTCTTTCCCATTTTGGTTATCTATTTTTGGTCTCCTTGAGTTGCAGGGTTACCGTTTAACTTGCTTCTCTTGTGGCTCTGGGCTCAAGTGGCATGCAGTGCAAGCACTGCGAGCATGCTTGAGCCGAAAGATGACGAAGGCACAGCTAGATTTTGTCGAACACTTGGAACTTTGCATTGGACAGACTGATGTTGGCAGCATCAATGGCCTCTCACCTACGCCCTTTGTAGGGTGATGGGGAAGGGGATACTCCTGGTTGAAGAGGTAAGTAAGTCTACGGTACCTTTTTCATTCTTCGCCCTCTATTCTTCCAAATGCCGTTTGGTCGGAGATCATTGGTTGGTTTGGTGACAGACCAGGACGTTGGGTTCACGACCTGAGCCTGGTCAAAATGTCCGCCTGGTCGGGTCACAGATATGGGAGGGAAGACGTCGCCCCTCAGATTGACCGTTGATGAATCGAGCCTCCCCGTCGACATGGGAAGACATGAAGCCCTCCAAAAAGAGGCCGAAAGACGGGTGATTTTTTAATTCAGAACACCGTCTACATCGACTGGTCGAGTCACATGGAGTTGGGTGGTTTTGTTTGTCCCATCCAGGGCGAAAGGGGCGTGTATGTGACGGTTCGACACCGCGAGCGAGCTCTGTGACTGCTGGGTTCGACACACATCAGCTCTTTCGTCCGGATTTGACGCCCGGTCCACACGGCGGCAGAGAGTTGACGCGTTCAGGTGATGTGCTGAAGAGAGTAGGCCTCTCTGCTGGGGGCGCCCGGTCTGACCGAGCGGACGGGGCGCCACGCTTGGACACGGCTCCTCTTGGAGCGAGCTCCTTTGGGGCGAGCAACATGCGATGTTCTCATGATCTGTCCGGGTGGAGCATTCCAAGTGGATCCCTTAGATGTTTCGAGAAACATGCGAGAGGATGGGGCCCATACATTTGGATGCCAAAGGTCCGATTGTTCCGATTCAGCATCCGAAAACAACGACTCCAGCAGCTCAGAACAGCGCTTCCTGTGATCAATCACTCGCACAGACTGGCGCATCTGCCAGCGAGACCAGCCTAAGGTGCTCAGCAATACCAGCTACTGGACGCGCAGCAAAGAGGCACCGATGTTGCATCCAGAGTCAGCCGTTTGGACCCCAACCGCGGTTGGTTTCAGATCATCTGAAGAAGTTGGTTCCACTGTGGTTCTGAAAGACCTGGTTGGACGACCTGCTGTGGTGGTGCTGGAGGGCAGGCGGTACCTGCGTAGGGGACACATAGGGTGCCGTTGCTCCCCCTTCCTTTCACGCCCTTGCCACCTCGACCTTCCAATCCTGCCGGACTGTTGGACGGTTGTGGGGACCCTATGGTGTAGTGCTTTGTCCTCTGTCTGCTTGTAGGTGACCTTTCCCTGTCTCGTGCCCTCTCGGAACCTGTCGCATCAGCCATATCTCAGACACACAGTCACAGACCAGGCAAACGACTTCCTGACACAGACAAATCACCTCGTGTTGCCTCTGCTTTCCTTGTGACCAAACGTTGACCTGGACCTTCTCAGCTCGTTCACCGAGCTCCGCTACCACCTGAAAAACCTACTACCTTAGTAAGTAGATTACAAACGTCCTAAACACAAAGCAAAAGCACGGTGACTAAGGTCACCGCTCGACAGAAAACCGATTCACTGGGCTTATTTAAATCTCAAGACAGTGTCAAAGGACACCGCAAGAGACAAGATAACTTGTTGCTAACGAAAGAAGTCCGCACCCGCCCATGGGTCGCACATGGAAACACTCCAGGAGGCTTCCGATGCCGAGCAGCACTTGACCCAGTTGCGGCGGGAGGCGCAACTCCGGCAAGCGCGCTGTGAGGGGCAGTCGGGTGGCTCAGTTCGGGCCTAGGACTGAGTGTGTTGCGAAATTAGGAGATCATCTTAGGCAACGCCGCCCTTTTCAAAGTTCGGGACATGGACCAAACACTTGATCAAAAATCATTGGGCCACCACCCGCGCGCGCCTTCTGTCCTAAGGCTGGAGACACTGGCGAGAGAAGCCAAAGAAGAGCAGGAGAAGCGACATTCAGCCGATGAGTCTGGTCTGAAATGTCCAGCTGAAGCTCAGCGAATTCCTGAAGTAAACGCAGTATACTAGGATGATAACATCACTAGACCTGTCAAGATCCCCATGTTTGTTATCTCAAACACACTAATTGGGCATCCAGACAAGCGGACCTTTCAAGCAAGTTTGACTGGGAGAAAAGAAGGCTTCTCCAGTAGTCGAACAGCGGTCCTCACTGTGTGGGGCCCAGTCATTCGACTCCAAGTCAGGTAGGCCTGAGTCGGGATTTCGTCACATGCAGCCGCAGGAGCGGCGACTGATCTCCGATAAGATTAGTGAAGCCCCCAGAGAGGGTCGTTGGCAGACACCCCTGGAGCGGTTCAGGGGGTCCCACCGAAGAGCGGTGTTCAAGCGGGTTGCAGATCGACTGGTACTCGTACTTATAGAAAATGAGTATACATATATATATAATCATTTGCTGCTATGCTGATATGCTCAAGCTTCATTTTGTGATGCTTCATACGCCTTTTTGCCTGCTTTCGACCCAACTAGGGGTCTCCCCCCAACCGCCCGCCCGCAAACCTACACCGCTTCCGAGCGCCAGCGGAGGCCGGGAGCTGGCCAGCTTGCGGGAGGAGCTGCACCGAAAAGATGCCCAGGAAGAGGAGCGTCTGCGCCGGGAGAACTCAGGAGCCACTGGCCGCGGGGGAGTTCTGCACCCCCCCCCTAGACGGGCGAGCGAAACAGCGAAGTACTGGGTAGAAGGTCCCAGAAAGTACAGGTAGAATGGGCCACAGGATTCACAGCCTTGGAATAGGCCTATAGATGCCCAACAAGTACAGTAGAATGGAATGGATCTTGTAGAATACGATAGCGATGCAGACACACCGCCATTCACTGATTTGTTGCACGAATGTGTTGCTTTGTCTGACTAATCACACAGCATCATTATATAACATAGTATATCTATCATTGATAAACATGCAACACTTTTTTTTTTTGTTAATATACAACTATGATCAACTATGTATATAAGCCGTGTAGTATATGTATACGTTTCTCTTATTTAAACCGGAGTCATCTACTCCTCCGAGGTCATTTGTATCGAGGCATTCTGGGTCCGAAAGATGGTGGCTCGGCGGAGCCCACCTTCAGCGCCGACCCGGACCGCGGACAGCGTCGCGGACGGCGGCGGCGCGGGTCGGTTTGAGCGAAGACGCGAAGACGCCTTCAGACGAGACCAGTTGCAGTGGCTGTCTTTTTGAGACGAGACTTCAGCACCTTGAAAACGCTGGTTTCTTTTCTTCTAAGGACCTGTGCAGCTTGGCGGCACGTGGGATTTTCAACCATTTTGTACTGTTTTCACAGGAGCTCCGGCGACGGACTCGCGGCTCGCGAGGTAGGTCCCAGCGAGTCCACAAGAGGGGGGGGTGGAATGTAGGTTGGTGGAAAGCCCTGCCAGACCGCATCTGACCAGTGGAGGTGACCACTGGAGTATACCGTGGTTTTGGAGTAGATGGCACAAATCCTGAAGATGTCTTTTAGATGAGGGTCCATACAAAGCACCGAACTTGGGGATTGTGCCATCTACTCTGAAACCACTGTACTATCCTGTGAATTTGGATGAGCTTACTTGTACGTGAGGTCTATTTGTGTAGTGGCTTTTAACTCTTGGGCCGTTTCATCAAATGTTGCTCCCCTTTTCCAAGCAGCCTGCAGGCAGATGTCAGACTTTTCACTGGAGGACCTCAGGTGGGGCACGGGGATGGATGGGGCATGAAGCAACGCGGTTCGCACCTGATTTGGCTGTGGGGTTTGGGGTTTTACTGGATCCTTCCCAATGGCTTCTCCTGTGATCCGCCCTGACCGCGTTACGCGGCACCAGTCCACGACACGTCCAACACGTCACCCGCCCGCATGACTCGGTCTGTACAAATGCTCTACATCATTGTAGACGACAGTTGATCAATCACTCCCTCCATATGGAAGAGGCTTTACCATCCGAATGAAGAGGCTTGACACTCGCAGACACCGGAATTGAAACATGGCCCCCTCTTCCAAGATCCTTTTTCCTATACAAACCGGAGATTCCCCACTTCCATGTTTGTTGGGTGCAGGGTATTCATCACGGGTGGTCGGTGCGCAGGTCCAAGCCCGCTCCGCTGATCTACAGCGTGCGCTCGGCTTGATTGTTGATGTGCAGATTGGTCAGATGGTCGGCACGGCACCTTCTCAAGGTCCATGACACATTGCGGCGATGGCTGATGTTTTTGGTGTATACAGGTACTTGTTTTCATGCGGCTTGTGCACATGAACTTGCTGAGTGCGACTCCAGAAATAGAACTTGAGCGGAACTTGAGCGGACGAATGGAACGCGCCTAGGAAGCCAAGTTGCTGACAGATGATTGGGAAGAGTCCCTGTTCAGAGGTGTGGATGCTCAGAGCTCTCAGAGAGCTGGTCACTCTCTGATGATCATTTCACTATGCATATCACCGGATACCCCACTGAAAACTCACCTAGACCCTTCTCAAACCACTGGTGCAGCTAGAGGAAAACCACGAGTTGTTGGGGAGTGCCGGGAAAACCCTCATCGGCGCGAAATCGCCAACGGTGGCCGGAGCCCAACACGGACTGGGGTTCAGACCGCCCAACACGGCGGTCAACGGGGAACGGGGCCATGGCCCAGCTGTCCAGCGACTCATTAGACTGGTCAGACCCTTGAGAGAGCAAACGGTCCAGGTGAGCGTTTGCGAGCAGCTCGCAAGAAGGCTCGACCCTGAGATGGTCGACCGTTCTGTCCGACAGGGACATGTGGTATGTTCAAATCTGCTTGTGGGACGGCTCGCTGTCGACATGTTCAGGCTCTTCTGGATCGAATTCGGTAGCGGTTTGGACCAAGGTCCATGCCACCAAGGTCCATGCAGGACCTGGGTGTGGTTCACTTGGCTGAGAAAACTCTTCTTGCCCAACCTGAGCGAGAGCAAGCGAGAAAGGATTTGTTGCTTCTTAATGGAAAAGAACTAGAACTCTTGTGGCTCTTGTGTCATTGCAGTATAGGTGCTCAACTCGAACGATGAACCCGAGGAACCTGATGGACCAAAGTTTGTCTCAGTCCCAAATCATCCTGCGAGCGACTTGCTTCGGAGGACTGGATGCGCCTGGGAGCGCTGCAATGCGTTTCACTCCAGGCGAGGAGCTGGTCATGTCTGACATGACCAGGATGAATAGGATCTGAGGATCTGAATAGGATCTGAATAGGATCTGGCTATCTTCGGTATCACCGGGTGATGACTGGCCAACACTCCGAACGTATTGACCACCGGGATGGCGGTCCGGATGTCCGAGGAAAAGACGAGGCCGACCAAATGCTTCGAGACCGGATCCCAGGGACACCACGTGACGAAGCACACCGCGACCGCGATTGACGACGAAGCACCGCGCTGGACGTGACGAAAGCACCGGTCCAAACCGTTTGGTCTTGTTGACAGACGAGTCAGTTCATTGCCGTAGCGGATGAGGTGCAAATCGTTCACGAAATGGAAGACCAGGTTTGTTAAGTTGCTGATCACTTGAAAGGATACGATGGCCATATGATGTGCTCATTTTCATGGATCAGTCGCAACTTCCCAAGGGTCCTTCTGCTTTTCACCGTGAAAGCATCGCATCAGTTCCATATGACAGATTTCCAGGACTTATGCCACATTTTTAACTGCCCCCCGACAGTGCCTTGCCTTTCCACTGACAGAGGGCCTCATGTCATGCGATGAGCGCAAATAGCACCCTTGTAGACAGCGGGCGCTTCAATTCTTTATGTGTTTGTCTATGTTTGTGTGTATTTGATTGTATTTGTGTGTCTGTGTTTTCCATTCTTCGTTTCCCCTGGTGGTGCTTCTTTTGTATGTTTTTTTGTTGTATTTGTTCCCTGCACCGCGGACTGTGACTGTGGTCGGACGTGGAAATGGTGCCACCGTGGTGCTACCCGAACACGGTGCCACCATAGTGGTCCAAGGATTCGACGTTAAGAGCGGTTAAAGCAGAGGCGAAAGCTGCCGGCGAACGGATCCGTTTTTGGACCTCAAATAATTCGAATTGGGAGGGAAGTCAAAGCCCTACCTTCCCAGTCAGTCAATTGACCTTGTACTTCTTTTTTGATACTGTAAGTGGCCTTTAAAACAAATAAAAAGTTGGTTTCGTCCACTCAAGTCCATTCTTATTTTGCTTCACCTTTATATATTTGCCAGACAAACTCTGGCTCGGGAGTCATCGGCAGTGAGACGAAGACTCCCAGAATTGATCAAAATTGGTTGAATGAAACATCCACAGGACCTGGTTTTGCATGGGTGGCATGGGGGTGACCCAATCTCCCCAAGAATCTCATATTCTAATCCTGACACTATACTCGTGAGCTTGAAGAAATCCATTGAACTCCGGCCGTGAAGAGTAGCACCGCGAGGTGCCCACCTCACTCAGGTGAACTTGGCTCGCTTGGAGCGGCTCGAGCGCTTTGGCCTCTGAGATTGGAACCTGAACAAGTGGGCCGACAGGCCAGAACCCCTAAGAGTAGGGATGTTGAGGGATGGTTCAGGTTTTTAGGACATCCCATACCATTCCCATACCATTCTTATTAAACGTTATACTATTCTTGTTGTCTCGGCGGTTTCACACCTCGAAGACAGCTCATAAATCCATGCTCTTTTTTGCTTTTCAAAAGGAGAGGAGTACGTCGTCGTCGTTACATGGAATCCTTCCGCGGCACGCGCGGCACGGTGAGAGTCCCATGGGCAGAGTCCCATGGCTTCACGGCGACATCCAAGCGCCATTCGTTTCCGTCACCTTCACGTGGTGAGCCGTCACCTGGTTCGTTCGGTTGAAGCATGCGTGTTCACGAAGAGGACTGTTGAAACCAGGCCTTTCTCCGCCTCCAAACACATATATGCAGCAGGCTTTTAAACTAGAAACACTTGGTGACGGATTGCTTGCTTGGATCGATCCTGTTGTACAGCTTGCAACCCGTGCACTGGCAAATGTCATGTGCAACTAGGTCTGCCATTGGCAATACTGTTGTAAGATAGAGAGGATTTGGCTTATCTTGAGTACTTGCTGAAAAGTTGACGTGGGTGACGGTGACTTGTTGACAACTCCTTTCTCGCCTTCCCTTTCTTCAACAAAACCCGTGAAAAGTGCGAAAACCGTGCCGATCGCGCCTGGACACGCTCCCAGGAGTCGCCGCGCCTGGCCATCCACGCTCCCCAAACGCTCAGATTTCCGCATGGACATGGCATGGCTGGACATGGCGACAGCTGGGCCGCTGGTGACTTTATGGCTCGACTGTAGCGAGGGGATGGGGGTCTCTGCGAGCTGTAGGCAGCTCTCTCTCAGCCCGTAGGGAAGAGTCCTGGCCGAAGAGAGAACGCGAGAGTCAGTCCACGCAGTCGGTGTCGGTGTGCGTATGTGTGAGGTTTGTGCAGGTTTGTGAAGTGGCTGGAGACGTGCGATTTCGCTTGTGCAGTGTTGATCACTGATGGGAGACCAAATTGAAAGGTCCCTTTTCACCTTAATTCAAGGCAGCCAACCCCTAGTGCTGCGGGTGAATTGAGAATAATGTTCCAGAATGTTCCAGACATTTTAAGCAGGCACCCTCCAAATTTCTTGTGCCGCTGAGGAGAGCAGAGAGCCCGGTGCCCAGAACGACAAATCGTAGTGACAAATCACAGGGTCTGACTCCCAAACAATCATTGTTTTCTTAAACGAAGGATTTGACTCTACAACATCAAGTCAACCATTTTGTTTGGTTTGGCCAGGGTGTTTTGTTTGGTATTCACATACAGTAGACATGTTGACATACCTCTTGTTGGCCAGAAAACCTCCACTTTTCCTCCTCCACTTCCCGGCCGAAGCCGGCGCGGTGCGGTGTGCAGGTGTGCTGGCCCTAGCTTCGCCACGGAGAAGAAGAAGAGGTCAGATGCACCAACGGTCAACAAGTGGGAGGCCCCAGGTGGCTCAGAGTGAATGCCAGAGTCATCACTCTTCAAGAGCTCCCATTTTGTGATTGATCAATGTGATCTATGATGAATAATATATATATATATGTATTTCTAGGATTTTTCTAGGGTGTTGTATATACCCCATCCCATTACTTGTAGAAGTCGGTAAAATATGATCCGTATTTTGGGAAAGGTCTTTACTAAGCATTATACCCTATGCATTTCATGAAACAATCTCAGATCTGTCAGTCAGCTCCCCCAAGTTGTTGCTTAACAGACCAGCTGCCCGTGCTTATCAGCCTTCTCTTCTGAGGAGTGGAAACATGAATAAGTACGATGTTCTGGGAGTCGTGGGCGAGGGCGCCTACGGCGTCGTGTTGAAATGCAAGAACAAGGAGCTGCCGTCGAGCCCGGTCACCGCGCCGACGAACGTCACTGGTGGCCGGAGCGGTGGCGAGTCTTGCGCCGGTTGGAAGGACACCAATGAAGTGGTGGCCATCAAAAAGCCCTTTGCCTCAGATGGGATCGTGTGGTCTCGATGATGCCGTCATTGGTGATTCGATGGGATTGGGATTGGAGGTGGTTCTTCGATTCCGAGGTCTGGCTAAGATGGTGCTGGAAGTCCAGTCAGGGCTCATAGACTACCCTCCTTACAAGCGGGTTGTCCAGGTTTTCCAGGTGGGGGGTTCGTTCAGGAGATGAAAACGACCGAAGTTCTGCCGGCTGTCTGAACGATGATCGACCTATGGGAACCGACGAAGCCCGTCGGGGGGTTCCACGGGGCACGAAACGCCACCTCGGCGGCTCGGCTTCACCGGTCTCCACCGCTCGGCTTCACGAGCCACCCGGCCGGCAAACGAGGTTCAAAGAATCCGAAGAGGACGAAGTGGTCCGGAAGACCACCTTGAGGGAGGCGACCCGGTGACCGCGGAGGGAGGGGTCTGCCACGGCACGTGCGTCCTTAGGGCGCGGTAGGGCGGGCGTTCTTTGGAAGTCCGAAGTCGGCGTCGGCGTAGGCGAGCGGGTGAGGCGATCCAAAGAGGGTTAAAAGATATGATCCACTTGCTGGGTGAAGACCCTGAAGCAAGGGCCGAAGCATGATCACTTGCTATCGAATCGCTGGATTCGGGATGCGCAGGTGAAAATCCTTCGAATCATGCGACATGAAAACATTGTGCAGCTCAAGGAGGCCTGTGGGAAAGGGGTGGTGAATGAATCATCCAGATTTTTTGGCCTAGTTAGTCATCCCCAAACAGATAGAAATCTTTTGGGAGGGCAGTGACTTGTCCATTTGTTTCATGAAATTCTATTTTTTTTTCCGTACAACTTCTGAAACTCTTCTCCAGCTCCAATCAAACAGAGACTGTGCGGCTTTCCGTTGAAGAGGAGAAATCAGGGCGATTTTGACAGCAACTATTGGCCTTCCTTTGAAGGCTTTTCAGGAATTCATGGATTCATATGAAAGAAGATGAAAGCAGTGTTTTTCAGATTTGGACTTCAGCCACTGAGCAAAGGACAACAAACATTGCATGAATATTGGCAGACTCAAACGCGTCCACGCCACACGTGGAGATGGCTGGCTACGAACCGTCGTTTGCCAGTGAAGGCCTTCCGAAGAAAAGGAAAGCTTTACCTCGTCTTCGAATTCGTGGAAAAGAGCATGCTTGACATTCTAGAAGCCAAGACCTGAGCTAAACTTCCGCAGAACTAGATCAGAAGTCTTCCGAGGTCGTGTCACTGGTGTAAGAGTCCGAACTCCCTTGGGCTCGGTCTTTCGCCCCAACAGACCCGTCGGTCGCTCCAACCATCCGCTGACGGACGCGGACGCGGATGCGGTCTACACCGAGGCCAACCCCAACGGGGTGGACACCGAGACCGTTCGGGTCTTGACATGCCAACTGGCCGGGAAGCTTGGTGGGAATCACGGGTTGGTGGGTTTAAACACGCCAGTGGTGTTTCGCACGCCCAGTCAACCAGCGGAGTGGAGTGTGCTGTTCAAACCTGGCAAGGTTCGAAAGTTCGGACCAGTCTACTGGGCCCTGGGTGGTAGGACGCGTCCACACACCTGAGAACCGGCGTCGGTCTAGTCTTCGGATCACCCGAAGGGGCAACCGAAGCATCGATGGTCAAAGCTAGTGGAGCAAATAAGCTCTCTTTTCCAAACGTGTGCGGCACAAACGAACACTTCGGAGCAGGGGATCTGAATGGATGTTGGAGGCCATGACCAATAACAAGAAGCTACTTGGAAGCCATTCCATTCGCACCTGAACGAGATCCGTCCGACGAGGCTAGGGCCATTGAGTATTGTCATCGTCACGATGCGGGGCGCCCAGCGAGCACCGACTGCAAAACGAGTCCGGACAAGGTTCACGAACGCAAAGAGCGTCTCGTTCTGTCTGGTGACAACCTCTGGTTTTCTAGAAGTGCTGTACATATGCAATACGATGCAACAGGATGTAACAACAGCCAAGCAGCCTGCCAGGTAATTCACCGTGACATCAAACCGGAAAACTTGCTTAGTGTGCACCTCAGTGTGTTGCTGCGAGAGGACATCTCAGAATGATGGTCAAGGAACATTCACGAAATATGATACAGTACTTATAAAATCTTATAAAGGTGAACAAGGTGAACACGTCTTGGCACAGACACGTGGCCTACATGTGTGTCGCCAAGTCAATCCTGCCGACAACGCACTGCGTCTTTGCGATTTTGGTTTTGCCCGGACCATGAGTCGCGCTCTCGGTTGCAAAGGGTTGGCACAACGTATAAACCATTTCAAACGCTACTAGGTTGGAGGCCATCGCCACTAGGTTGGAGGCCATCGCTATTAGGTTTGAGGGGCTTGTGCCAGTGGTCTTTGAGCGCCTCCCAGGTGCTGACACGCCACTGACAGCCGGCTCCCCAGGTGGTATTGAGGTTGTGTTGAATGAACGTCTCTATAAAGCAAGCATGAAACCTGGAACCTGGGGACCCCCAAAACATCCAACCATTTTAAGCCCATGCTGTTCAGAGTGTCCACCCAGAGCTTGTTTTTTCCTGTTGCATGGTACCTGACCGAACTACGTGCTGCGCCCAGGACTACGTGGCCACGCGTTGGTATCGTGCACCGGAGTTATTGCTGGGATCCACCCACTACGGCAAGGACGAAGAAAGAACGGAGAGAGGCCTTTCCGTGGAGTTTCAAGGGAAACCCTCATCTTCAACCCCCAAAACTATAGGCTTCCTGTAGATGTTCCTTGAAACCAGTTCTGAGAGGTCTGGCGGAAAGGGCACTTTCCAGCCCATCAGCTGGATCTATGTCCGGTTGTCCATGTGTCGCAACCGGTCATTGGCCTTCATCCGAATAGGGTAGGCTAGGGCCTACGATAGGCCTATATAGGCCTATGGGTAGGCTAGGCCCCGGGCCATCATTACCCTTCATCCCCCCTTATTGTTTTTGCAGTGGCCATCCCACCCCTGTAATATATATATATATAAATGTGAGTGCTATGCAGTCCCACTGGTAACGATTCCTTCAGGGGATCTACCAAACCTACAGTCCTATCAAATCCTATCCCCTCCAGCAAGGCGGCCACGCCTTTTCCATATGCCAGCCTGTTGGTGCCTTGAGCCATCGTCATTGCGATGGGACACATTCGAAGGAACCCTGCCTTCCGACTCCACTGGATTCACATTCGTTTTCTTTTCTCTGTTCGAATGTGTTTGGTTCCAGCCAGCATGTTTTGCCATATTTGCGATTTGCATTATGCTTGAGCGTTCCTTCTTCATCGTAGATTCTGAATCGACCTAGTTGAAGGACACGACGCATGAACGTTGAGTCCATGGGCTTCGTTAAAGCATCGGCCAGCATGATAGCTGTGGATATCCAGCGGCATGTCGAATGTTCTCCGGCTTGTTCCTTAATCAACATCACTTCAATGGTTGTTCTCCACTCCTGACAGTTTGGTACTGCAAGCTTAGTGACTAAGTCATAAAGACTTTTGCAGTCTGTGATCAAGAGTGCCTTGGGAACATTCTTTAAAGCTTCTTCCGGCTTATACCATTGAAATTTTGGGTCATGGATGTAACTCCAAAGACAACGAATCCATGTGAGTTTGTCAAGTGACGAGGACATAGCATATGCTTCGGCACTTAGAGTAGATCTAACTACTCGACCAATTTGTTTGGAATTCCAAGCTATTGGAGTGAAATCTGACGCTTTGTTTTCTTGCAACCGTTTTGTGCATGCCATTATAAACAAACCCTGCTGTGCTTTTAGTTTACTTTCTGAAGCAAAACTGGCGTCTCCAAAACTAGCAAATGTTATTTCTTCCAATGGAATTGGACGAACATAGATTGCTGTTGAAGCAAATTCTTTTGCCTCATTCAGTATTCGATTTCCTTCCAGCAAGTCTGCGATTGTTGCCTTGCAAATCTGCTTTTGAAGGAAAGCCACCTTTGCAGCCATGTCTGGCCGGGAGTGGACAGCGGCATACTGCAAACTTCCGCACAATGCTCGAAGTTGCTGCACTTCATGTGGGTTTGCTGGTGTTTCTGTCTCTTTTCTTCGAATTTTGGGCACATCAATTGGGTCTATTTTCATTACATAGTTTTCTTGACTTACCCTTATTGAAAAGTCTGGCATTTGTTCCATGTCTAGTCCGGTAAATCGAAATTTCCGATATTCTCGACTTCCGAAAGGCAGGTGTTTTTGCAGTCTTTCCAAAGCTTCCTCGAAGAACTTGGTTCCACCTCCTATTCCGTCATCTACATGTGTTCCTAGTATCCCTTCCAAGATCTTGGGGTTGGTGGGATTTCTCAACAAGAATAAACAACCATCCATGGGGTGTGCTTCAAATCCTTGTTCTTCTAGTCGTCGACGAAACTCTTTGTAGAACAATGGTGGGGCATCAACTCTTCCGTATGCATTTCCTTTCAGTAAACAGACTTCTTCTGATTTCAAATGCATGAGTTCTCTTAGTTCTTGTACGGGAGTCATTGCTAACTGTCTTTCATCACTTCGTCCTCGCAAAAAGGCCGTGGTGATATCGAACGATTGCAATTGCCAATGTTTGCTGGCAATTGTCTGCAGTGCTGCCATTCGTCCATCTCTGGACAGTGTCGGACTTTCAGTCGATACTGTAGCAAGTTCGGGATCTTCGAATCCTCTTACTACAATTCGGGCTTTAGGTTTTCGCCCGTCAGCTGCATTTGGATCTGTTTTCCAAGTTAATATCCACCTGGATGACATGATCCGGCTTGGATGGATCCTATTCTTCAAGATCGGCACGACAGCACTTGTTTCAAGCCAACAGTTCATTTCTTTGCGTTTTGCTTGATCAAATCTTTGTTTTTCTTCTTTGGTCAATCGGCTATACTGTACCTCAGTATGTGTCTTTTTGGCAGCTTTTGCTATTTCGGTTGCATGCAGGCATGGGTTCATGAGAAATCTTGTCAATTGCTGTTTAGGTACATCGAATTCAATCTTGCAAAAATCAGCCTTGGTGTCTTCGTGATTTTCCCTTTTACTCCACAGAGTACCCTCATCCAAGACACTTTCTGTACCGGCTATATTGACTTCTGTAATGAATGCATTATGCACCATTAACGAATCCCCTACTTGCTCACTTTCTGGATTATGTATTCCCCCATAATCTGACCCTGTTGGCACTTCGGCAGCCGTGTCTTCAGCACCTGGATTGCTCTGTTCTGCATTTTCTCCAGAGATTTCTGGTCGGTGCTGCGAATCGGCATTCGAGTCTCTTCGATGCGGCTCTTCTTCAGGTTGTGCTTCACGTTCAGTAGGATGAGTCTGTTCTTCCGTTCTAGGTTCACTGAGGTCAACATATTGAAACATTCCACTTCTTTGTTTCAAGCTTTCCTTCAGTTTCTGAGCCATTTCTTGAAGTCGACTCTCACTGGCAGATTGATTGAACTGGCTTCGGGATTGGAATTCTCTCAAGGACACGGGTCGCATGTTTTCTCTGGCAACTCTAAGGAGGCGATTCATTTGTGTGACCCAAATGATTGTTCTACCCTCATGCATAATTACTTGACAAGGTCCTACCCATCTCCCTTTTTCTATCATATTGGGTGATTTTCTTTTGTCCCAAATCATGCAGAGTTCTCCTAATTGCCAGTCATGTTCATGTCCTCGGGATTGTCGAAGCATCGCTCTTCGAATTGCTTGGCTGTTGTCGGCATCGAGCAGTGCTTTTCTTGCAAGAGTACGAATCTGCATACGTTCCTGAAAATCCTTAGATCGGGTATCTTCTGGATTATCTAGGGAGTGTGTTATACTATCTTCATCATTGCATATCGACCCTGGCAACCGTCTTGCTCGACCGAGTACTGCTTGTTCAGGACTATATCCGTTACTTACACTCATGGAGTTTTTGGCTTGGAAGCATTGATATAGAGCATAATCGAATTCGGCATTTGTTTCAATCTCTTTTTCCTGATTTATTCGGTTCAACATTTCTTTGATGACTGCTCCATGTCTTTCAATTCTTCCCCTCTGCCATGGTGCTGCGCTCACGGTTGGTTTGATTCCCTCTCTTTGCAACATGTCTTTCCACCTTTGGCTCATGAATTCTCCCCCTTCATCATGACATATTTCATTTGGTGGTCCGGCCCAGCTAAACCAATTTTCATACATTGCTTTTTCTGTGGATTCAGCTGATCGACTTATTCTCTTCCCCAAATGGTAATGAGTGGCTTCATCAAATATATGAATCACATACATTTTGAGCCCTTTTTCATTCTTCCATTCAAAACCATCGATGGAGATCTTGTCGTTGAACTCTCTAGCTTCCTTTAACTTGCCTGGGGTGGTGAGCTTGGGTGGTACTCTTTCGGTGCATGACGGACATTGATATTCGGCAGCTCCTTCCACTAGTTCATTGGACATGCCTGCTCTTCTTAAATGCTCAGACAGCTTCTGCGAAGTAGGATGACCTAAATTATTTAAGGGCTGCCGCCCCTGCCGCCGACCCCGGGACTCATCAAGGAGGAGGAGTACTGCAGCTTGCACTCGCCAAAAAGCTATGGTTCAGGTGACTTTCCTTCATGCACCATGGAAGTGAACCTGTTTGTAGACGATGGTCCTCTAAATCCATGTTGGCCATGCCACCCACTTCCAGGATTGTTTCAGGGACAGCAGGAGTGGTTATGGAGCTGTTCTGCAACTTTGGCCCAGACACTGCGCCAGTCCAAAAAAGGCTGCGACATCTCAGACTTGAGAATTGCAGGCTTCGGTCACAGTGCAAGTGCATATAGCAACATGATGCAACATGCAGGAGTGGCAGCCAGACCAGTGGCAAACGGATAGATTTGCACGGATTTGCAGATTGAGGGCACTATCAAAAACATTCAACCACTACTTATACATACACTCCTGCACGAATCTTTAGGTTCAGGATGTTGCAGGTGTGTTTGTGTAGATAGGAGCCCATATAGGCCATATAAGAATAAACCAAGCATATATGATATGACTCCAATCCAGTTTGGCGAATTATGGGAATCCTAGTCCAGTCCAAGTGGTGGATCATGTCCAGAAGCAATGCCTTCAGGCGGCTTCACTTGTTTCACGCCTCAAAGACGGCGCCCCTCTTGGACGTTTGGGACCTAGATTCAAAGAGTTAAGAGGCACGTTCGCATCCTCAACCTCCACACCGGCTCTTTCCACCGCCCAGTTCCAAGAACTCCAGTCTGGTGGGCCCATGTCTGCGACTTTGCGAGCTGGTGTGCATTGTATGTACCAGCATGTATAGTTCTTTGCGCATTGGTGCTACCCAGTTGGATCCTCATCCAATGGGTTTTAGTGATGTCTAATTTCGGACGCAGCATTCATTGCCGAGATTTGCCAAGCCCATATGGCCATGGGATATAAAGTTTAACAAGAATGTAGAACCTCACTGGAGTGACCAGGAGACTTCCCCAGTTACTGAAACGACTCGGTGGCTCGTGGAGAAAGGACAGAAAAACATACAGCGCCCCAACAAATTGAAGCGATGAAGCGGATGAAGAGAGGACCGGTAAGCAACATTCTGCACATGGGCCACTTGGAGAAGACCAGTGCGCAACTGGGTCGGCTATTTTACAGCTTTCGCCATGGCCTGTGTGGCGACTTTGAATGGCTTCTTCCGAGAGGAAGTGCCTTGG